CTTTCAGTCTTTGTAGAATAGCATCCACTGCAGTAAAGGGTGATCTTCTGATACACCCCCAGACTGGTTGACAGGGACAACACTAGGTCTGCTATTTGAAAGTAAACATGGCTTTTGCCCTCCTCTTCCTCTATCAGCCCCCCTAGGAGCCACCACTAAACCCTGACAATGACTCCACTGACACCCAAGTGTCTCATTCATCTTCATTTGTCCCATCATATCCTGCCATTTGTATGGAAATGGCTTCCAAGCTGTGGTGCAAACCGACGCTGAGAGTGGTAAAACAGGGCAGGGCACTGATATTTGTGAGCTGGGTTGTTGTGGACGGGGGGGGGGTCTATCTGCCCATTTGGCTGTTCCTGTATAAGTTTCTCAAACCAATGACGTGAACCCGACCCGCCACACATACACAGACACACTCACTCAGCAGGGGATGGGAGCTGGAGGAGGTAATCTGATTTCTCAGCTGCACAGGGGACCACTTCCTGAGAGCAGCCGGGGGTTTTCCCATCTGTCCCCCCACCCCCCCTGAGGCCTGACCCCCTGCCTGCTGTTTATAGAGTTTCTTCTTCCTGTTGATGTATTTTTTTTTTTTTTTTACTCTGATACACACATAAAACTGTCTGAAAGCTGCCACACCACTAATGGAGTCTGGAATGAGATGGCGACCAGTTATGGAGGTGGAGGAAGTGGCTGTCATCCCCCCGCCGCGGCGGTGGATCAGCCTTCCAGAAGCGTGCCAGAAATGGGGTTTGGGTTTAGAGTTTGAGGAGAGGGTTAGCCAAAATTTGCATGTGGGGGGATTTGTGCTGATGGATATGAGGTGAACAGTTATCAGTTTACATAAAACAGCAGCAAACATGCCAGCTTGTGTCTCGAGTCGAAATGTAAATAATTATCAAAATTTTCTGCTGGACGTGCCGTTTTAGACTGAAATCCTAGCTTTCATAACTAGAGATAAGAAAATGTGTTTAAGAGGAGAAGTGAAAGACAAAAGAAAGCAGCTGGAGCTCAGAGCGCACCCTGACATCCTCCTTTCCTCTTTGACAGAACACAGACACCGTATTTGATCAGCACTCAGGAAATTTCATTAAGGAGATGAGTGGATAAGAGACTAAATAAAGATCCTGTGGAAGAGCAGAGGAAGCAAAGGAGACAACAAAAGTATCAGACATAGAAAATGTAGCGAGGGTAATGATGCCACGTCCACGGTTTTCCTTTTTATATCATAGAAGGAAACATAAGCCCCCTTATTTCAAAGAGAATCTAATCAACATTTGAAAAGTAAAGGTTTATGACTGCTAAGTGATTTGATTCACAGCATGTTTAGGATGAAATAAGCTGTCAAATAAACCCTGGTTTAACCAATTCTGGATGATATTTATAGTCATTAAAGTTACCTCAATTTAACAGCTTAGATGTGTTGCTATAAAAATGATTCGATCGATTGTGGATTTAAAAATGTGAGTGCCCATAAGATAAGTCAGTCAGCAAACCAGGAAAGTCCTTTGGTTGTTTGATCTGGACCAAACATGGACTTTATTTGTTAGTTCATTTGGTCCAGTTTGTATTAAAATGTTCCCTTTTTTTAAATAAAAAATGGACTAGAACTCCCAGTGTGTGACGATCGTATCTCCCGTTGGTCAGAAGTACATCAGGACAGAGCTAAGTTCTAGAAATTGAGGAAAACTGGTCTGTTTTTTCCTATTTATGCTGCTGTTGCATCTGCAAAACCAGTCAACAGCAGCTCAGTCTTTGTAAGTTTTAAGACTTTTTATTTAGAATTTTGTTGAAGTATCTGAGAATGCGTCTTTCAAACCAAAGGAGATAAAACTCTTGCTGGTAGCAGCATTGCTAAGCAAAAAACCATGGAGCAGGTATGATTTTGTTGCTACATCTAGTACGTTGGCTTGCTAAGTCCAAAGACACTTATGCTTTTTGCATTGTGATGATTCTGAGGCCGTTTTGTATTCCTACCTGACCCAAATTCCATTAGGAAGTGGATCGAAACCACCTTTAAAGGTGGGTCTCGGTCTAATAGTTTAGTCTGGTCTTCATTCACACCTGCTTAAAAGGTCTAGCCTGGCCAGCGAGGCTGGTAAAGCTCAGACCCTTTGGTTTGAAATAGACCCGACCAATCACAGTGTAGGACGCGGAAGTTTAAACTTTCAGCAGAATTACCGGTAGCTATTATGCAATAGCGCTTTCCAATAACCATAGCAGTCAAGACTGCAGCTGAAATGAAGCATTGTTTTATAATTATGACTTGAATGATCTGAATAGGTCTTAGATTTTCAACAACTGGCTGCTGTAAGAACTTTTCCTTTTGAAAAAAACATTTTTCTAGAGTCATATCTAGAGTTATCTTTTTTTTTTTTTTTTATGTTTTTGCGGGACTAGTGGCTCGTTTATTGTACAGTAGGCTGAGAGGAACGGGGGTAGGAGGGCTAAGGCCTCTGTACATGGCTCTTGAGCGCTAAGCACTGCCCCATAGAAGCACACCCATATCCATAGTTAACTGAATGGTTCTAATCTGGTTCTGCTGACTTTGAAATATGGCTCTACCAGCTCCTTGCTAGTTCGATAGGTTGTGTGGGAGCTGTGATTACACCCCCAAACAATTCATTTGAATGATTCAAGAAACGTTTGAAAACCGAATTAGCAATAAAAATAAAATCCATTGTGCCAGCATTTGCATTCTTTTGTGGCAAATGTATAAAAATATTACAAAGCATCAATGAAAATTTATCTCACCCTCCATTATGTAAATATTTATCTGTATCATTTAAGTCGGAGTTATTCAGAGCCAAATGTGGCTCCAAAACTGCCTTAAACATACTCCTCAGATGAGTTTAGATAATAAAACACTTAGCTGTGAGACATTACTCTATTTGCACCTCTGTATTCACTAGTTATGCCAGCTGATCAGTATTGTTCAGTTATTCAAGGAAGAATGTTTCCAGATTCTTTCTATGATCGTTCTCTGTGTGCAATAAGGAACAAAGAACAGAAATATCAGAATTTCTCAATAGAAATATTTGAAATTTCATTTATTTGGGTGTAAAGAGATCTAATGGTACAAGATCTCACAATATCATAACATCAAAACATTTCACCCAGAACTTGATTTGGTCTATTGCTTCTGTCTGACACCATTTTTATTTTTGAGAAATGTATTTTGACAAATGAGGGGAAGTCGTTGTTGGATTATTGTACGGCTGTCTAACCAGCGGTGCACAGAGACAGGTAGAGAAGGGGCCGCTCTGCTGTGCTTAATGCTCTACAGCTTTAAATACTGAAGCACCAGAATGATAATGGAAGATTAGGACACTTTTGAATCTGTGACTCTTTAAAACCATGGTAAACATGTCAGTAATTGCCTAGTGGGCAGCATTCTGGGCACCTGTTAGTAAACAGAAACAAGACAACATAGGCTTGGAAGCATTGTGACTACTGTTTACCACTAATGATGCCAAGCTTAGCTCCAGGCTCACAGCCTTCTATTGATGCTAAGAGAAAAGGGCTTTTTTTGAAAGTTTCCCAAAAAGAGGGACCCAAATCTAAAGCTGATGTGGGCCCCCTCTTCCTCTTAGGGTCATCACCAGCAGCATCTCCTTTTACATTTGGTGGATGTAGGAGGGTAAGTATAATTGGTTGAGCTTAAAAACAACATAGATATTCGATTCATCCTCAATAAAGAGTATTTGTAGCCAATTAACTTGTTCCATTAAACTGTATACAACCACACACACACAAATACATATAAATATATACATATCTATATCTATATATTTATATTAGATATCATATATAATGCAATTATCAAATTATGATGATTATTGTTTGCACTTCTACAAGGCCAACTTATTTATTTAAAAAAAAAAAAGAAAGTCTTTTAGTTTATATAAACTAATGATAATTTTACAAATCAATGAATCTGTCGATTATTTTTTTGATAGATTGGTAAATAAGCAGACAGCCAAAGCTTCCTGAAAGAATACTTTTTTACAAAATTTGAACACTTGAGGAGTTCTGGATAGAGCATATTGATAGAATTTTTTTTTCTAAATCTTAAATGCAAAATATTTATATATTTTCTTACAATCTTGGCATAATTACTGCTCTAAGTGGGTCGCTCTGTCAACTAAAGGCATATTTTACAGTCTCTATACCCCAGTTAAAGATTAATCAATTACTACATTGATGGTTATTTCAATAATCGACTAATGAAATTCATTGTTTAAGCCCAAAAGATTACCATTTTAAATAAGCAAATATAGAAATTCCAGACTAATGTCTGTCTTTAAATTTGATTCAGTATGAGAGGCCACTGATGGGCCCAAAGCATCTGTGTAGTTTGCATATAGCAAGGGCCGACTCTGGACTTTGATCACCTCTGGTTCAAATACCAGAAGAACAGTTGGGTCAAATGTGGGGAGAAATCCAGAGTTTCTGATGAGGGACTCAGACTGGCATGCTGTGGGAATCAAACTCTGGACTGATATTTCTACACTGGTCAAAACATGCTTTCCAACATGATTCTTATCTCCTTGTGTAAAATTATTTTCTAAAATCTGAATCCAATCAAAGATGAGTAACAGAAGTCATCCATAGAGTTCAAATACATAAGCTTTCTTAGATTAAAAAAACAAAATATAACAGCCTGCCTTTCTTTAGTTTCCACTTTAACTTCCTCCCATTTGTCTTAAGAACCAACCCTCCTCTTCCATCATTAATACCGATAGCTTGGATCTAGCAGTAGGATGTGACGTTAAATGGAGACAGGACTTTTTGCTACAAGACAGCAACTTTAAGGTGAATCAAGCAAGACAGACCAGAGCAAATGACCTTTAACCTTATCAATCAATCACCATAAGAGTAAGGAAGAGAGAATCAGAGACAAGGAAAACAAACACAAGAAATCTACTCAGCCTTATCAATCACTGACCAAAGAGAAGGATGGAGAGACGAAGAAAGAGTGCCGGCGAAAGAGTGTTTACCTTATCGATCATGTCGGGTCGGTTGGTGGCGGCCAGGACGGTGACATCTCGGAGCTGCTCGATGCCGTCCATCTCTGTCAGCAGCTGAGCCAGGACCCGGTCGCCTACGCCGCTGGACCCTGCGGAGCTAAAGAGGAGGGGGGAAAGAAATTAAGATAGATGAGTAAAAAGGGGAAAGAAGCAGGTGGGGAAAGAAGAGCGACATCAGGATGGATGACTAAAAGTGAAATGGATCCATATGAATCTGTCAGAGACTAAAGCCATAACTAAATAAATGAAAGATGCATATTTCTCCAACCAATGTTGGTTTCCCTTCAAACTGTGAAGCAATCATTATCATCCAGGGACTGCCGCTAAATATCAGTGAGAAGTTAGCTGCACTAAATATGGCTTTTATAAGAGATGAGATGGTCCTGAAAGCACAAGAGCTGAGAAGGTTTGATGAAATCCAACAATCAGTAGAAAGTACCAAGATTATGTCCATGTGCTAAGTTATATGTTAAATAAGAATGTGAAAGAGATAAGCATGTTAAAAGATATAAAGTTCTACTGAGTACTAAGATAACAAGAACATTTACGCATTTTGACCCACGAGTTAATGTTATCTTTGGGACAGAAAAATAAAAAGCAACATTTTGCAGCAAAACTACGCTTATTTTTTGCATGTGACGTACCGTAAAAACACTGAGCTCAAAACAAGATTTTTGAAAAGAAACAGAAAACAGGTTGTCCCTCTGTAATAAACAGACCTGTTAGGGAACCTTGTTTGGACTTGTTAGCATTTATTTATTTGTCAGGGACAGTACACACTGCAAAACGTTATGAAAATGAGTAAAATTTTCTTAAATTTAGTGTATTTACCCTTAATTTCAGTAGGAAAATACGATGATCTGCCAATGAAATTAGCATTTTTATCCATAAAATAAGACAGATAGATAATATTCACTTGAAGTAAGAGACTGCAGTTGTTGTTTTTTTCTTATTTCAAATGTAAATTGTCTTAATCCATTGGCAAAGTGTCTAACTTACCTGCTAAATTCAATAGAAAAGGCACTGATAATAAGAAAATTTGACTAAACTTAAATTTACATTTTTTGCAGTGTAACCATGTACATTTATGTGACTGTGTCAGTATTAGCTATGTTTTTATTTCATTTTATGTATTTGACAGGGACAGTGTACATTAAAAAGCATTCCTGCAAATGCACCAGAATTAGCAGAAAAAAGGCATTTTTTCATCTGTTGTCCCTGGACTAGGGGTGGAACGGTTAATTAATTCATTATTTTTATTGATCCGCGGAAACCCTGGATCATTTCCGCATGTTTTGCTGCTTTGAATTAAATCATCTCGCGCATGCTCTCTACGATCTCCAAGGAACTCAGAGCAGAGCGGACGGGAGCCACAGCGGAGGCTGTAGGCTTTGCTTTGTGCAGGCGGTCTGGAGCGCAGCGGGGCGGAGCGCCGACAGAGTATGTGGGATTTCGGAGTTAGCATGACATGTTGGTCGTGTTGCTGTTAGCATAAACAAAACGTGTTGCACAATGCTTGCACACTGTTGCACTTTTATCCACAACTTTCTTTCCGCCGTCATCGTAGGTCACTCTAAATGCAAAGTGGTCCCATACAGCACACCTAGGAAGTGCTGCTGGCGCGTCTTCCAACCCTTCTTCTTTCACACTCGCCATACCCTCACAATTCTCCACAACAACTGATTTTTTTCCCTGCTACACCCGGCTACGCTGCTTCTTCTTTCTTCTTCTTGTTTACTACTGGCGGTTGGCTTTGGTCGCAGTACCGCCACCTTCTACTCTGGAGTGTAAACGCTTCGACCATGAGAAAAAGGAGCAGCGCATGAACCGAACGCAACACACGCAAACCGAACCGAGACAGTCAAACCGAACGGTTCGGATGGTTTTCATAAACTGTCCCATCCCTACCCTGGACAGATCTTAAAATTGTCTACCTAAAAAAAAAAAAACACAACAGTAGGCATTCTACAATAAAAAATACAAATATAAAAGGAAACAAAAACAGCTATAGCTCCACAAAACTGATTTAAAAATACAGAATAAGTGTTAGCTGGACTACAGAGGTTCATTAAATAGAATAAAACATTTAAACTATGTATATATACATATATACATACATACACACGTATACACATACACATATATACATACACACAGCAGAGACACAAGTGGCAGCATGGCTTGTTTATGATAGACATTTAACTAATGCTGACCTGACTGATGTGTTATGAGCCAATTTTTTAGATGCTTTTTGAAAATAGTGTATGTTTTCTGTTCTCTGATGTTCTGAGGGACAGAGTTCCGTTCCTAAGATACTGTAACTGCAAAGGCTCTTTGACTAAAAGCACTTTTACACAAAAGGAACAACACAGTCTACTCTAGACTCTCCTCTACAGAGCTAGTTTTCAACTTTTTTCACTGGGCAAGGTGTGTAATGCCAACAGCAATTAAAAAAATACTAAAACAAACAAAATAATTGAGGCTTCATACTTACAAGGGCAGGTCATACACTTCAAACACACATTAGCATAAAAATATAAGTAAGTAACACCCGATGCAAACATTTGGCTGAGTCATGTTCCAGGAGGTCGGTAAGGTATAATGAGCACATTGTCGATTTGATTTTAAATGTTTTTAACTGAGTCTTTAATGTGTTAAAGTGGAGGATTCTCTGATAGTGAGAGGGATGCTGTTCCAGGTGTAACAGCCTTTGACTGAAAGAGCAATCTGGCCTGCTACTCTGATCCCAGTGAGACAGAATAGCTGCTGCATGCAAACATTCAAATGAAAAACAAACAGTAACACTGAGTGAAAATTTTAAATAAATTGGAATAAATGAAACCAAAATATGACAACAGAATGAGGATGTGAGGAATAAAAATTGAATAATCATGTGACAAGGTGGATGAGGGACTGACCCAGATAAATCCTTGTTTTGAACAACTGTGACCCTTTATTGGAAAGGGTAAAAGTATTACTCCAATAAAGATCGTCAGCCTTCAAAAACTCATCAGCGCATTACTCAGTGCATTACTAGGTGGTTATTTTCCATAGCAGAGCACAGACAGCCATCCTTCTGGCATCAAACACACATACAGCCTCTGTTGACAGGGCCAGCAGGAAGTGCCAGACGTCATTAGTGGAAACAAGTCTTCAGAGGAGCACAAAAGAGCTCTGTCACCGAGATACCAGGGAGAAGAAAGGAGGGGGGTGACAGAGGAGGAGAGAAAGTTTGGGGAAGGGGAGACAACACGCTAGACAGGAAGCTGCACTTTTAAAAAAAGATGAAGTTATGGAGATAGTTAACGGGGAAAGAGACGCAAAAACAGATCGGAAACGAATAAACTTTTCAGAAACCGAACAAACAAGCAATGGAGGATGGGATCTAATATGGAGTCTGAGGAAAGAACGGATAAATATAATGGACAGGCAGATGGATGGATGGATGGATGGATGGATGGATGGATGGATGGATGGATGGATGGATGGATGGATGGATGGATGGATGGATGGATGGATGGATGGATGCAAGGAAGGAAGGAAGGAAGGAATGATGGATGCAAGTAAGGAAGGAAGGAAGGAAGGAATGATGGATGCAAGTAAGGAAGGAAGGAAGGATGGATGGATAGATGTAAGGATGAATGGATGGATGGACGTATGCTACATTTCAGACTGTAGAAGGTGTCTGTTAGTATATTTGTCCTCTCTTTCTTTTCACCAGTCTTCCTTACTTCCCTCCATCAGTCTAGCCTTGCAGAAGTTAGGGTGACAGATTTACAGCTGCTTCTCATCTCTTGCTAGATAGAGTGTGTAGCTATGGTCTGCGAGCCACTTCGTTGATTAAACCCACTAGGAAGTGAGGGCCAATAAATAACCTTTCCAGATCTGCAAGAGGTGCATTTCTCTGACTGGTGAGCGGCCTTAAGGCACAGGTCCAGTCCTGCTTCAGTCCCAGTGATTTGGCAAAATAAGAAGCAGTTGGCACATTAGAAGCACTGAAATTGATAATGTATAAAAGGAGAGAAGAAAGCTCCATCATAGTGACAGAAAACAGCACAGATGGAAGCTGCTAGTGGGCTGGCAAAGAAACAACTGAAAAATTCTTACTCAGATCTGCTAACTTTCAGCCAATAGGGTTGCTAGACCTTTTAGTTCCAGGTATAGCCCTTCTGAAAGCCACTGGCCTGTGCGTCAACAGTTTGAGACTGACCCAAATCACGTTGCAGCTGAGACAAAAGCAGGAGCTGATGAGCCCACAGTCAGACCAAGACCGTCAGAATCCACAACTTTATCTTTCAAAGACGAAAAGTAAGACTGTAAAAGCATAAATTGTTGAACCTTCTCATGGCGTCTGCTGCTACTTCCTTTGTTACCATGACTGTCTAAAGCCAAACTTTGGTAGGCGGGCACTGGGCGTCGCTTCCCCCAATCAGTTCGGAAGGTTCTGCTGAACGTCCATCTTTTCACTAAACAGTGAGGGATTGCATCCGAGTCAAAGAGTCGATGCAATCAACTGATTTTCCTTAGATAGAAAACTTTGAATCAATCTGACTCTATGATCTGGTTGAACTGTAAAGTGCCTGGAGATGACATGTGTTGTGAATTGGAGCTATATAAATAAACTGAATTGAATTGAGAGAAGCTGAATTGTTGAGACAAAGATTAAAGTTACATTGCAACATGTCGTAGATGTAAAGAAGCTAGTATCAAAATGGGTGGGGGTGGGGGGTGCTAACTTATCAAAGGAATGAAGCTATAAGGCCTGCTTCCCTTTTCTTCGATGCATCCTGCACATTTTAACCTCCTTTGCCCAGTTCAGCAGGAAGCACGCAGCATATTTGGCCTTCCCCATCTGCTGTGAAAGAGCACAATGAAGTGTCTGTGTGCCTCTGGTCAATGTCCTCTGTCACCCCCCCCCCCCCCCCTCCCAAAGTCTCTTCCCTTCAGGCCACAGATGTTCCCTGTGCCCTGATGTCCCTGTTCTCCGCTGGTGAAAAGCCACAAAACTCTGCAAGCCCAGCATGGGATCCGGTGCATTCATGCAGACTTTTTTTTTTTTTGGGATGTTTGTTACTCTTCTATCATGCATGAATCAGAGAGTGATGTAAGCGGACAGAGGCTGTAGTCATATGATTAACGCGGACCACCAAGATGATTGTGAGTTCATCACCAAGCAGAAGGAAGTTGTTTTTCAGATTGATTTCCGCTTTGCGGACATTTTTAGTTTTTAATCGTCAACCTGTTTACAAAGAAATACAGAGATGACACACTGTACCTTCCTCTTTCGCTGGCAAGAGCATCGATCTCATCAAAGAAGACGATGGATGGAGCGACGGCCCTCGCCTTCCGAAACACCTGTGGGAAGCGTCAGCAGCAGAGGAAGAGGGAGAAACAGAAACAGGACGAATGTTTTTACGGGACGGATGAATCATCTGAGACACAAACATTCAGAGGAAATACAGCAGTCATTAAAACCCAAAATCACAGCGCAGGTTTTCCTTCTGTTGCGTCAAAACTAAACCTCCGTCAGAGCTCTGCCATTCAGCTCGGGAACACAGAGATCAGGGGGGATTTGGGTTTATGAAATTTAACAAAAACACTGTGTTCCAAATTTTAGCAGGTTAGGTCCACAAATGTTTATGTGACTGACGTTTTTCTTCTTTTTACAAACTAAAATCTTAAAAGTGCATTAATGTTCCGCCTCTTTCACTCTGATTCCACATAATAAAATCCAATGCAAAGTCAATTCATCTAAATATTAAAGAAATTACTTTAATCTGAGTTTAAATTCCTTTGTTTTGTGAAGGCCTTAGAGGCTTACTGGAGAACATCAATGAACAAAAAGCATTCAGGGGCAGAAAGGCCGGATGGGAAGCTGTGGTGACATTTTGCATATAAACCAAAACCCAAAGCTTTGAATATATAATTGAGCTCCGTTCAGTTTATCATATATCTCCCCAGAAACGGCTTCTGCCATGGGAACCAAAATCCTTGAGCTCAGATAAAATGTTGTTGTTTTTATTTTTGTTTGTTTTTTGAGCAATAAACTAAACTTTTTTATTATTTTCACAGGAAATCCAAGTGAAAAAGCTCAGTCTGTCAGGAAACAATACTGGATGTTTGTGATCTTCACCACTGCAACATTAAATGTTAAAGGTATAGTGGAGGATGTTCTTTTTCTGGGTGGATCATCTAACTAAGGCTACGTTAACACTGCAGGCCTTGATGCTCAATTCCGATTTTTTTGTGACACCCAAGTGTCCCGCATGCACAGTAGAGGACGCGATGACATCACAGGCCAGCGTGCTCTATGTTTACGGAAGTGAACATGGATGTTAATGTCTTTTCCTACCATAAAAACTCAATCTTTTTACATGGTTAAACATAAATGCTGCTCTCCACATCATCATCTACCATGGTTGTTGTTTTTCTTGCCACTTCTGCATAGCAAGACGCAGAATAGGGACATTTGTTTGGTATTAATGACGTTCAGATCGGATGAATCAGACCTGGCCGTTCAGACACAGGTCACATTTGAAAAGATCAGATTTGTATGGGATTCAGGACCACATAGCCAAGTGGCCTGGGTCGCATTGGAAAAAATCAGATCTGTGTTGTTCAGACTGCCATGAAAAGATCAAATCCAGGTCGCATAGGGGTCAAAAAATCGGATTTGGGTCACTTCAGGCTGCAGTGTGAACGTAGCCTAAGTGGTTCTCCTAATTGTCAATCATTTTGGTGATATGTTACGTAAGACCGTCAAACATGCTCGTCCCCATTTTCACTTATCGGTTCTGAGTGTGACATAGTGGAAAAATTGCAAATCTTGGATGGGCTTTTTTTCTTTAAAGTGGAGAGGGCGTTTTTTTTTTTCTTCAAAAATTTGCAAAAATCCTCCACTATACTTTTAAATAAAAAAAAAAGGTCACTTTTTGCACTGTTCCTATAGCCTGGGTGCCATTCCGAACTTAGTCCCGCCCACAAGGTTTGAGGTCGGGAAGTTCGGTCTGGCTCTGCTCCATAGTAGCGTGAGTATTATCGCCCACTGTCAGGCAATCCAATCAAATTGTCAGGGCGGGCTTTATACGATGATGGACAGATGATCAACAGTAACGTAATCAACCATGTGACCAAAGCGCGCTTGAGTGACAACAACAATGGCTGCCGCCGGAGAGTTGAGGTGAGTAGATTCTGCTACTAGGTCTGTTCTAGAAGATATCGACAGCAATTTAATTTTAAAAGAGGAACAGAGAAACGCGATCAAGGCTCATCTTCTTATTCTAGGTGTGCAACTGCACGCTTTGATTTTTGTTGACAAAAACTATGCATCGCTTAACATACGTCACGCACTCCGTCGCTCTTATTGGTTGTAGGTCTATCCAATTGAGTACAGAGGCATTTTTTTTTCTGGTTCGTTCAAAACACGCCCCATAATCACAGCTCTATGGAGCAGTATCAGACTCATATTCTGACTAGAATTGAGTAGGACTACGTCAGGCTACTGTTCCTACTCATTTTAGAATAATTCTAGCATGTTAGGATCTATTTTTAGATCCCATGAAGCAACAAATACGCTAGACGTCTACAGAAACTCTGGAGGAGCTGCAGAGCTTCAGTTGTCATCTTTTTTCTTCCAAATCCCGACAACGCATGAAATCCCATAAAAATCATTATAGTCTTTGGTTTTAGGATAACGAGTTGCACAGAAAAGGTCCCAGTAAGGAAAGTTTAATGATCTTACCTCTCGAACTGCTCTTTCAGACTCCCCAACATACTTGCTCAGTAATTCTGGACCCTAAAAGAAAGATACATGTAAAACGGGACAGAGTTAACAAGGCTACTACAGAAAGAGCACTATGTTTGACTAATTTTAAGAATCTAATATTCTTCTAAATTAGTCAAAATCTTTTTCATAGTATTCCAACAGACAAAGTCCATCAGTAAAGTTTTCAATGACAGCAAAAGCATCTGCTCCTCCAAACATAAAATGGTGATAACTCAGAGCTGCGGCACAGCAGGACATCTTTTGTCCAATTTGTGTGAAATTCTTTCTATGCTCCCTGTACGCTGTGTACCGTTTCATGTTTGTATGTAACACATGTGGCTCACTTGGCAAAGATGCACATTTTCCACTCCGTGAGCATTAAAGTAGCACATCTGCTCGCACCATGGAGCAACTTTTCCTGTTATGAATGCATTCAGGCACATCAAATAGAAAAGCTGATCTTTAGGAAGATCTAAGGCATGGAACAGAGGTTTGGGCTCGCAACAGCTTTTTAAATATCTGTGCAACCTCCGGCCATATTTGTCAAGGCTATTGCTGGATTTTATATATCAACTTTGGAGCTTTCTTTTTTTTTTTTCACACTCGATTTAAAAAGAACAGCAAAACAATAAATCAAGGAGGAAGGAAAACACATTTTTCTCCAGGAGCCTTTTGCTATGACTGCTACTACTGCACAGGATGACCCAAACCAACCCAGATCTACTTTGTCTGTGGTTATTAGTGGAAGGACATGCATGCTTCACATAGAATATGATGTACTGTTTGTCCAAGCAGCTCCTGAAAAGTGCTGCTTGCATTAAAAGTATTAAAGATTAGGAGGCTTAGTAGGTTTGAAATGCGTCTTGTAGCTTAGGAGAAATAAGTTTTCTCCAAAACTCAAGGAACCAGAAAAAGAAGCAGAATTCCTGTTATTGTTATTGTGCAGAAACACACAATGAAATTAAAGATGAAATGAAATTAACGATGTGCTGGACGAACCTTCTAGGATCTGCTTCCAACTGAATGCAGCAGATCTGCAGAGATCAGACAGAGTTGAAGTTGTGTATTTTGGAAATGATCATTCAACTGGTCCTAATTATTCTTCCAATTATAGTAAAAGTCTTTTTTCAATCAAATACGCTGATATTTTTTTTTCTTGAAAGGTGTTTTGACATAGTAGAGCTAGGCGATAAGGCCAAAACTTCTAGCAGAATATATTTCTACATATCTGTGAAACAATTACATTTTAATCAGGGATGCAACTAACCATTACTTTGCAAAATGATTAATCTGTTGATTATTTTTTTAGATCAAGTGATTAGTAATCGGATAGCCAAAGGTTCCTTAAAGAAGATTAATTACTAAATAAAACCAGGTGAAACTAAAATGTTACCACTTGAGTAGTTCTGGATGGAGCATAATGATGGAAAAAAAAAAACTAGTTTTTTCTCTCAAATGCAAAATGTTAAATATTTGTTTTCACAATCTATATAGAATTACTGCTCTAAGTGGGTCGCTCTGTCAGCTAAAGGCATGTTTTGGAGTCTCTATAATTCAGTGAATGATTAATCGATTATTAAATAAGTTGACTATTATTTCAATAATCGATTAATCCGATTAATTGTTTCAGCCCTAATTTTAAAGTCAATAAAACAAAACCATCAGAAAGACTGCCAAGAATGCCCACAACAGATGTCTGTACAAACTTATGACAATGATTTTACAAAATGTATAAAACTGATATATTTATAATTAACTGATAATATATATAATTCAAATTATTAAAATTGAAACAATTAAAATATTGGCTTTAAAAAACAAAAAAACATCAAACTAGGAAACTTAGCTAATTATAAATGCAGTTATTAGAGATTGTTATGAATATTAAAATGTGTTTACAAGTCATGTGACCCTCATGGAATAACATTTCAGTGTGACATATATTAATACTGAATTAAAAAAAAGATTTCCGGCTTTCTTTAACTGAGTCTAACTGATGTGTTCCCTCTGGGGGTCGGTAGCGGTTTAAGTCGCTCTACAAAATCTGCCTAATGGTTCAATTTAATTATTTACGGAAGTTTATTTGATCAGCAAACTGACGCAGCCTTCAAATGACCCACAAGTTATATTCTGTAGTTTTAATTTAGTAGCTTGTTGCCAATTTCAAGGAAAAATATGAATATGTGTGAAATACTTTGAATGCCAGATTATAGAGAATTATGGTCCTAATCTGCGCACATGTCGGTTTGCTTTCCCATTGAGAGGACTCATGTCTCCATTCCTCTGTCCTGTTTTCTCTCTCCTAGATAAAGTTGAGGTAATGACAGAATGTTCGTCTCTTTTTTCTTTTTAAACTGAATCCTGGTCCTTAAACTGTGGTACATATGCGACTAGAGGTAGAGGTGAAAACAGACAGTGCAGAGTTTTAATTGGCAACAGTTAGATGTGCCTTGGAAATCAAAGTGATTGGAAGCTGTCTGTCATTCTTCTTTTTTACCTAAAAACTGAAATGTAACTTTTTAAAATGAAAGAATAAAATTTACATCACCGCCTTTAACAAATGGAATCATGCAAATGGATAACAGTATTTTTTATTTCTATATCGAGGGTTACTGCTTTAAAATTCGTATCATAAAGGGACTTGAAAACAGTATTTACTGACGTGGTATTTCTTGAAAAATATTTCACAGTCATTGCCTTAAAACCATTCCTGTTTCAGTGCTTAAGTGTTTAGCTGTGTCTCTTATTTTTATAAAGTCATGCTATAAAGTCTGGGTCCACTTTGTTTTTATATCCAATCCAGTGAATTTATCTAATAAATTCTGCAACATGTTTTAAAATATGTGGAAATTTTGATGTGGAAATCCTCTAAAAGTACGACTCTTTTTTTCCTTCGAGAGGAGACAAACATTCAGTCAGCCTTTAGAAGTATTTCCTCCAATGCGATCTACTCTTTCAACACCTCTTGGCTGATTGACGAGACGACACTTAACTTCCAGCCCTTTTGTCTCCTTCATTATTCCCAGGCTGCTGGCTCCATGGTAGAGCTGAGGCATGGACATGTTGACATTTCAAAAACACCAGCAGAGATACAAGATGTGTTTTTGTGTGCATTTTGGCATGCAGGTATGCATCTGCGACTGCTAGTGTGTTTGAGTGGCTGAAGGGAGGAAACCAAAATTGACAAGATGATAATAGGGCTTTTTTACATGGAGGAAACAGGCTGAGCCCTTAAAGTACCCACATTTAAAATGGGATAATGCATCTGTGTCAAAGCAACCGCAGCACTGGAAAAACCTGATACTGTTATTGCAGAAGGTTGAGAGCGGCTTTCAGCAGCACGGGGCAGGATGTTTTCTATCCTGTTTCAAAGAACAGATCTCTGGGTGATAACTTTAAAACTGTCTGCAGAACCTGAAGGCACAAATCTTTGTTTAGGGAGTAAAGCACCTTCAACACTTGGTGGCACCTTAACCCAGAGATGGAACCAGAAAATTTTTAGGCAGAGCTGATGGGCACTGTGTGGTGGCCAAAAACCACTCAATCTACATTAATCCTGTTTTACCAACAGGAAATCACTGAATACAGACTTAATTGTCATGAAGTCCTCACAAATATTTAACCACAGATATTGTTGGATTTAATAGTTTATGTTTCTGCGTGATATTACATTAAACGAGGTGAGCAGTTGCTGCTTATCTTTAACTAGATAGAAAACTCCTAATTGTCTTGCAGAGACGCATTTCCATTTTTTTCACATAAAACACAAAAAAACGTCCTGGAAAGAGCCTGAGGTCAGTATTTATCATCTTTAATGTTGATATATTGATGTGAATAAATAATTACTGTGTTTTTTACGTCAATTTCTGGTTACTATACTCACAATTCCATCCATCCATTTTGTTCTGCTTTGTTTGGGGCCGGGTCGCGGAGGCAGCAGTCTAAGCAGAGATGCCCAGATTCCCGATCCACACACACCTCCTCCAGCTGCTCTGGGGGGGACCCTAAGGCGACACCAGGCCAGCTCAGGGACATAGTACCTCCACCATGTCCTGGGCCTTCCACGAGGCCTCCTCCCAATAGGACATGCCTGGAACACCTCCCGAGGGAGTCAAGCAGGAGGCAACTGAAACAGATGCCCGGGCCTCAGCTAACTCCTTTCATTATGGAGAAGCAACAACTCTACTCTGGCTCCTCCCAGGTAACTGAACTCCTCACTTGATCTCGAAGGGTGTGCCCAGTCACCCTGCAAAGGAAACTCATTTTGATCGCTTGTATTCGCGATCTTGTCCTTTCGGTCATTACCCAGATCTCATGACCATAGGTGAGGATGGGAGTGTCGATCGATCAGTAAATCGAGAGCTGTGCCGCCATCTTTGCCACAACAGTCCGATAAAGCGACTGCATCACTGCTGACGCTGCACCTATCCATCTATCGATCTCACGCTCCATCCGTCCTTCAATAGCAATTAAAATGTCAAATTAGTACAGACATTTCACTAGAGAGCATCACTACTGCCCCCCTCTGGTTTGGAGGAAAATGCTCCAGAGGTGATGAATGACAAGGTGGGAACAAGAAATCACCTGGTAGGAGTGTTACGAGGGGTGGACAATGATTGGCTAAGAGTTGCTGTGGCCACGCCCTAGCTCCGCCCATATTTTACCACATTCATGCTATTGGTTAATTTATGTATAGGTGTTCAATAATAGCAAAAAATTAACCTAACGAATTATTTTTCGTAGTTTATACCTTAATCTTAAGGCTGTTGCTCTAAGCCACCTTTCAAAATTGGAAAGTCAAGAGAAAGTACAGGTAAAACAAGTTTTACATCTTCATAAGTACATACTTGGACTTAAACATGCCAACAGCAGCAGTCAGGGCAATAATAAGACTTCAAAACGGGTGCAATGCTAAACAGGAGGGGGACCCCAGTTGATCCTATCGCCACACAGTGAGTAGGGAGGTAATGGACTAAAAGCATTTTAGAGTTATTAAGTCTCCATAACTACCATTAGATTTAATCAGCATC